CCTTTACAATTATTTTGTTTCTCCAAGTTTTATTCAGATACTTAAAATTTTAAAATTTAAACTGGTATATTAAAAATAAGTATATACAAAACAATTTATGAACTGTTTTGAGGGCATATGGATATATTTTGTATTTAGTATTTTGAATATTTCTAATTACATCCTTAACAGCATCAGTTGTAAGAAACAATTATAGATCAAAGAGGTATATTCATAATTATTATAAATTATCAAATCATTACTGGGCATCTCATGATCCTCCAAGAACTCTAAAACAATTGTCAACATAAAACCAATATAAATCAAATACAGCTTATGTGCAGCCAAATATCAAAGTTCCCAACATTCCTTTAGTTGAATGTTTGTTTAACTCCCTTCTCCACAAGTGTTTCAAGAAGAAAGGTGGCAAGTGCTTCTGCTAGCACTCTTTGCTGCTCTGTGTACTGCCCTGCTTTGATTTTAAAGGAGGAGACAAAGGGATTTCCAAAACATCATTACATGAAATCTTTCAATTGACAGCAGAGGTCAAAGGATTCCACATGTAGCTGTACCCATGGCAAACCTACTTACTGCAGTTTTCAGAGGGAAAAGGCAACTCTTGGCAGCACTTTTGCACTTTACAAGACCTTACAAATAAGATCTGCTCCTGAGGCACTAAAATTCAGCTTCTTCCACCTTCAGATCTTACCTTTTTCACATTCTCTCACACAGAAATCCCCTAAGGTTGTACTTGATTCACTGCTGAATCAAAATGTCTCATTCTGAAGAGCTGCAGCTGTTCTGTGTCTGCATGCTGCATCTACACTATTCAAAAAGCTAAACACATGCTTGACTCTTCTTTTCCACAGTTTAATTTGTCTTGGTCTTGTTATCAGGCTAGGAGATCACAAACTATCATGCTAGTATGCCTTACTGTACTATTCTCCTACACCAAACACAGAGAATTATGCTTGTATCTAAAACCTGAATTTGGTTATTGATTATTAGGAAATGCAGCTTTACATATATCTGATGATGCAGAAAGTTTCAGTCTTATAATCAGTATGAATCATTAAAGGTGGATTTAGGAAATCCTCTTTGATGTTCTGTATAATGCTGTATTTCATGTAGTCTTTTCTACAATTGGCTAAATAAGCTTGTTCAGCAAAAAAATCGAGTTTTTATCTGCTCTTTTACCTCTTTTATCCCAACTTTATTCCTTGTTGCTCTAACATACTCTATTGCTAATTACTACATTACTGACTATTACTAATTGCTATATTATGTAACTGGATTTCTGTGTCTTTTTGTAGGTCATTATTTTTTTCCTAATAAAACAAATAAAACGAGTCTCAAGATACTTAGATGTTTAAATGTGTGTCAACTCTGTTTTACCTTTGTTCCTAAAGAAAGCCATAGTTTTTCACTGCTACAACTCTTACATAAATCCAGCTCCCTTTAGTGTGACATCAGTGACCAGACTTCTCTGTAGTGGCTAACATCAGCCTGAGTTAATGGAATTCTCTCTTGATTTCACACTGATTGCAAACACTTCTAGGGTTCTTTATACCAGAAGTATTTTATCTCTTTTTTTTTCTTAGTAACAACAAAGCTTTTTAACTCTACTCAGCTGATCCACTGTGCATGTTCTAGTCATGGGGCAAGGAGGGAGGAATGCCAGGATTTCCCACATCCTCCATCCTCAATTTGTCAGCAGGAATTCCTGTATCTGAGGACTGGTGGGAATGACCAGAGGAAGATGCTGCTCACCAAACACAGCACTACCAATTTGTTTGCCAGAATGGTGGGAGTAAAAAGCAGGAAGCAAGGCAGAGAGGTTCAGAGAGGTTTGATGAGGTAGCTTGGGAAGTGACTCCAAAAGCCAGCTCTACCAAATGTGAGTCATGCGAGTCCAGCATGTGGCTCGCTCAGCTCCCATCTTGCCCTTCCCTCTTCAGAGTACATCTTGCTTTACAATTTAGAACTGGGAAGCTTAGCTCTTATGCAAAACAATGAACTAGTCACAGAAAGATGCTTGAGGGAAATGACACAAATCAGGCTGGGGTTGCAGAGGCACAGTATGGTAAATGGCTAATTTTGCCTCTGGTGGAACACTCTTGTGCTATTGAGCATTTTTTCTTTATTTCCACAATTCAGGTTTTCCATTATGTCAGCATCTACCAGCACTGCAATTTAGACTTTAGTATATATCCTATTTAGTACAAGTTTACTACTACACAATAAGCAGAAATAAATAGTTGTTTCAATACCAGAAATTAATTTACCTCATCCTTAGTGCCTACAGTGTTTTTCTCTCATCTACTTAGCTGTAAATATTTATATGAAAGTTAATATTTCACTTGCTTTCCATATGTCTGTCCTGAAACCAGCAGCTTCTGAAGGAAGTTATTTAAGAAAATGTCTTTTTCACCTTACTAAACTAAATGTATACGAAATATTATGGAAGCAGAATAATTATTCTTCCAAAAATAGTGAGGCATGTATAAGAATAATAGAAATACAATCTTTATGAATCCTGAGGAAAATGTATAAGGGAAATCAATTTCATATTTCAACAGCTTCTAAGAACAGTGAGATCTGGAATTAAACTTTTCCTACAGAATTCTTAATGTAAGACTATGCACCACAAAAGGGTATGTACCTTCCTCTAAAGCCTCTAGTAGTGATTACCAGAGGTAGAACAAAGCTAGAGAGATACAACACAGGATTTCTATTTTAATATTTCAATATTTAATATAAATTCTATGTTTATAGCTTTTGCCTTCTCAGCAAAGAAAGATATTTGATATTTTTTCTTAAGTTAAAGTAATCAAGAGGGACATAAGGATGCTGTTGACCTCTTGACTTCTGTTTAAATAAAGAAATAGAAAAGGTAAAAGAAAATTCTATGTACTGGCTTTTCTGAATGTGGCTTAATGCCTACTTAATGATATTTTTCTCAGGCATGGCACTCATGAGTGCCTGGTTGTGCCAGTTGAGAAGTCTAAAAAAATCAAATCAAATCTGTACACTGTACAGAACATTACAGTCAGCATTCAACATACATGTTTCAGTTCATCATTTCAAAAGAATTTTTGTAGAAACCAGGTAGATAAATTTTACTTATTAGTTTTCTGTCTCTAGATATTATAGGAATTTAATTAAGGGGAATTGAAGCAGTAGTAGTAAAAAAGTGAAGACAGAACTCTCATATGGCTTATGAGATTTATGGTTCTCACCAATTATGGTTCTCATCATTTATGGCTTTGAAACTACACAATTTTAAGAATGCATGTTGAATTACTACATATATGTGAATATTCAGTGTCTAGTTCCACAGTTTCATTGATAGAATAAATAACTCACTTTCAAGCACTGAAACTACACTTAAGCAGAAGAATAAATTAACTGTTTATTTCTGGAGACATTGTTTGATGTGTGCAATAAATAAACCACCATATTCATAAAATAATTCCATTTATAATTTTCCTCTTTAATACATTCCAATAATACTGAAGATAAAAGATGTAGAGTGATGCCCAATAGTATGGTGTCAGTGAAATGGAAAAACAAGGGTAGTAAATACTTCCTTAGGTAGTCATGTTCTATCTCACTCCTTTACATGAGAACCAATTTAATCTGCACCAGTCCTACTTCTGACTCAAATTTCAGTTAAGCATTGAGGAAGCAGGAGAATCAGCAGATTAAGTCTGGTTATACATACAATACATAAAGTCATATTTTTGTGGTACATACAGTCACAACACTTACGATAAGGTCCACTCACAGTATTACGCTCATCTCTCAAAGGCAACACCTTTCAAAGCCAACAATATAGAAATACTTTCTATAAGTGTCAAAATAAAAAAACCAGCTAAACACAACAGTATCCGAGTCCCTCTTACATGTTAATAAACATTCCTATGCCTTGTGCAGTTAAAATTACATTTGCAAAATACCCAAATAACCATGCAGCACATCTACAAAGCTTTAAAGCATCTTAAGCCATTTTCACGGTCTGGGTTTTGTCAATTCTATTTTCATTAGTGGGGCTTTCCATTTGGAAATGGACTTTGCTAAAGCACTTCTATTTTCTCACACTGATATATATTTTACAAATTAATTATATGAAGTGTATTAGTCTAAATTATCTGCAAAACAAATAATTAATTATAATAATAGTTAATAATTAATATTAAATAAATGTGATGGTTTATTTACATTCAAATACTAAATGTCTCATTTTATAGTAGCTTTGCCAGTCCTGGGAGCAAGGAAAAACAACCTGGAAGTAAAAGTCTAAACCAGATATCTTTTCCTCAGCCAAATTTTATAGGTCAGAAGTCTTGTGTTTTCCACATAAAATGTGACCTCAATTAATGAAGTCTTTTAGAGGACACTAAATTATTTTTGCATAATAGAAATTTAAATTGAAAGTATCTTGATTATTTTAATTAACATACTCTATATGACATGACCTGTTCCAGATAGCAGGAAATTTTGGATAGTATATTTAAGGCTATACTACTACATAGATATTCAGATTCTTGGCAATCTGCCACAGCTGGGGTAAAAGCTTTTGTTAGTGTAAAAAATACTTTTCCAGGTGCTAAAAAGCCACTATTGAACTAAGTAACTGCATCTTCCAGCTTTCAATAGATCAAGATAACTCTGTTCAACTATATGAAAGCCATGAACAAGTTTCAATAGCTCTCATGCCATCTGCCACTCAATAAACATATTTTTTTCCTTCTCTGAGTTTTTAAACCATGGCACTATTGTTCATTCTGATAGACAATTACACTGCTTCTTTCATTTGCGTTAACTTATCCCTCTTAAATTTTAATAATCAAGAACATTGTGTGTTAAGAGTTTTGCTGCACATTTCCAACATTTTATTATAGACACATAAGAAACTTTTACTGAAGAAACAACCTGGCACTCATCTATTACTTTCTGATAAGATGTTGAATATTTCAGTTTAGCATATTTTGTTGCTTTTCAAAACAAAACTCCCTTGCCTTAGAATGATAATCTTGTTCCAGCCTGGAATCTGATCCTGCTACCTGTTTGTACTTGCTCATTTTCATTTGGCGATTCCTTTCTTCTACATCCAGTGCACCTGTTAAGTTAAAAACAGAAGGAAAAAAAGAAAATAAATACACAAGCAGTAATCATTTTCAAGGTTAAAATTAAGCTCATGGAAGTTTTAACAGAAAGAGATGAAATTTGATTTATTTAAGTTCCGTGCACGTAATTTTAGTTCCTGAATTATGATTTTGCAGAAAACCAAAAAGATGTAACAGGAGAAAAATAGCAAAGTATTTCAGCAGAATCTTAATAAGTGTTGTATTATCTACACAATTCAAATAAAGCCAACTTTGTGAAAAAAACTCAATATAAATGAAACACAGTGTTTCCACAGAATATAATTTTACTATTTTAAGAATATTCAAGAGAAATTGAGTCTTTTATTTCATAAGGAGGAATGCAAAGATAACCTGCTTATCTTGGGTAGAGATTCTGGTTCTGCATTTATCATATTCTGACATATCAAAATAATAATCAATAACAGCCACAGACTAGCAGACCTTCCATTTACTATTTGAGTATATTCTTAGTATGCTCAAAAAATTCCAAGAACAACTAATGGAATCTTAAAGAGCCACCCAGTGGCATCACTGTATTACAGTCTAATGAAACACAGCTTCAAGAACAATTCCAGGATTCACTCCATGTGTGATTAGCTTTAGTCAGGGATGGGGTCTCACTACATGACTCAGGCAGTAGCTGGTTTCAACAAACTGGTACTTTACCATGATTTACAATGTAAAATAATAAGGAAGTGCCAAAGCTAAATTGGAAGATTGAGAAATAGAAAATTGAAAGGGAGACAACAGCTCAGAAAAGATTTGAAAACAAAATATGATTAGCTATCATACACACATAAGTAGGAGTCTTTTCCACTTTAACCTAGTGTAAGTCAAGAATAAATCATTATCCACCAAATGCTAAAAAGCTTTAATTTTGAATGACATTTGTCTTAAAATATCCATCATTTTAATGCAAAAGTTGTCTAGGATAAAAATTTCAGAATCCCGCTAATGACAAGAAGTTTCTGTATATTGTAAGTATTGAGCAATATGGGTTGCATCTATGGAACTCAGATGGGAATATTAGATGCCAGTGTACTACAGTACAGAAACCTGGTTTAAACTCTAAACCTCAGCTGAAAGTAATGATCTAACAGCAAAGTGAGGCTTGACACAGAACTTGTGTCTCTCAGCTTTGTGTTTTCTCTCTTGAGAACAATAGGGGTGGTAGCACCTACTAGGAGAGTTGCCGGGTAGATGGTGTGGCACTTCATAGGAAATCTGGAAGGAGAGGAGGTAAAAGGAAGTGGGAATGCAAAAACACTAAGCTGTTCTGTTCCCTATAAACCCTCTGGCTTCTAGTTTTTGTATTCTGACTCTATCTTTACACCCTAAAACAACATGAAAGAAAAGACTTCATCAAATATTCTAAGAGAAAATGAAGAAAAATTAATGAGAAAAAAATAAATGGTGTTTTATAGGGAGAAATATAATGAAAAAGAGAGCAGCAGATGAAAATTTCTAAAATAAACTACAGTTCATTTTTCCTATCATAATTTTCCTCAATTATTATAGAACCCATAGCAGTGTTTGTCAATTTATCATTAAGATGAAGTGAACTTCTTAGCATCTAGTTATAAAAGCTCTATTTTTTTTTCTATTAAAATCAAAAAGTTACACTGGAAAATATTTCATTTTTTCAATGATAGAAGTAAGACTTTTTTTGAAGTAAAATACTCCAGCCTCTTCTCAAAGAAAGAAATCATCTTTTGCTGAAATCAAAATCTTCTTGTCCTTTTTCAGTAATGTAAGAAAGGAGACATTTTTCACAAAAAGGACATTTTTCAATTTTTCTTATGTTTTATTATGAAATCATGACATGCTTTCTCTGTGCCCAGACATTCTGCCAAATTTCAGGAAAGTGCAAGTGAAGAAATAACAATTCCTGAGCATAAATTAGAAACTTCACAATTACTTGAGAAAATATTCATTCTTATTTATGATCAGTTGGCAAAGTGAAAGTTAGGTTTCCACAAATACAATTGCCTATGATATGTACAAAATATGTCACTCAAAAGGGGAGAATAAGATATAAGGTCTTGGTGTGTCTTCTGCAACAAAACAAGCAAAAATTGTAGCTTTTTTTCTCAAGAGAAAAACAAGACAGAAAAATGTTGAAAAAATTTTATTAAATTCTCATAAAATCTTATTAAAGAAAAATCTGACTTCATTTGTATTTTTGAAACTGTCTCTAACAAGTGAGTGAATTCAGTTATGAGCAAAAAGAGGAAAAGCCGAGGCAGTGGATAGTCCATAAAGCAGAAGAAAGCTCTGGTTCTGCTGTGCCTGGAGCTGACATGCAGAGTGCAGGGCTGCTGCTGCCCCGGGCTGAGCTCACTGTGACTTCAGCCAGATGCAGCTGGGACCTGCATGGCAGCAGGACAGGCTGGAGAGGGTCACAGCACCTCCCATTCCCGTGGCCCAGCACAAAGGCATGTCACACTGAGTGGTGGGAATGCGGGGCTGTCATCACCTCCACTCCTGCTGGCAAATCTCTGCTTAGCTCCCACCTATGGGAGGGTTTAGCAGGAGAAGAAAATACTTTTAGAGAGTTCAGCAACAGTCGGGGTGCAATAAAGCTTCAGCTTTTAACATGAGTTTGGTAACCAAGGCAGAACATTGGTCCTGCCCTAAGGACTCCACTGCAGTCAGGAGCTGTTCATGGAGCATGTGTCAAGAAACCAGAATTAACCTAAATCTAACCATTAGTTATCAACAGTGGTTAAAATGTAGGAGGATTAGCTTTCACACACCTGAATGACATGGGCTGGGCTGACTGAGTTCTTGTGTTGTTAGATCCTGAGCTGGAGCCCAGTACATCACGTTTTCAGGACTATAAAGACTGGCACTAGAAGAGTTAAAGCTGCTTCTGATATACTGAAGTACTGCCACAATGTATCAAAGTGTAAGCACCCAAATTTTGGCCAGGTAAAATGAGTTCATTTCTTCATGAACGTCCTTCCAGAATTTTGCTTATATATAGTAGTTGTGCCTCCAACAGAAATACCCAACGAGACACTAAAATTCCAGCCATATGAACACAAAAAATTAAGACTGAAGGCAAGAACAAAGCCTGGTGCTGCTCACCAGACATAATTGGGGTCATTGCACTGTAGGCAACATTCTAGAGTTTTGAACTCTCTAGCATTAAAAACCCTTGGCGTAAAGGTCAGTTCAGTGGCGTTTTCACGAGCACAAGGCAATTCCTGGCTGACAGAGACACAACTGCTGATTCATTACCAGCTATTCCCCATATTTTCAGAAGAGAATGTGCTGAGGGAAAGTAATATAACTACACAGGAAAGACTCCTGAAATGCGAGAGTAAGCAAGAAGTTCTATGCAGTGCAGCCCTGTAATCTCTCAGATCCACAAGGACTGCAGTGAGAGACTGTTGTGGCAGAGCTTAGCTCTAGTGCTACAGTAAATTAAACCTTAGGCCACATGAATTTGATGCTTGTTTTTATCTATGGAAATGTAACCACTAGACAATGAACTAGAATTTCAACTTTGGCTATAGGATATTTTGTAACAGAAGTAGGAAATTTCTCAAGACACAGACAAAAGGGTGCCTGGAGGCTGTGGGAGTAAATCAGAAGAGAAAACCCCAGATGCTGCAAACAGGATTGCATGTGCAGGAGTGCAATCAGAAAATAAAGCCACATATAGAGACTATAAAATCCAGTCACAAGCAACAGGCGGGGCCCCAAATAAGAGGCACCCAGCATGAATTGTAACTACTATTGCCTATTAAACATAGTAGGAAAAGGAACTCTGCTTGATTCTTTTATTGAAGTGGAAGCTAGGGATAAGCCCTGTTGAGGTAAGATCCACTTAATTCCTGCCATGGTCTAGGTGGTGGCTGTATAACTCCATTCCTACAACAGGACTCAGGACAAAAACTAAAATCACTGCTTCAGCTTCAAATAAAAAACCATTATTTTCATGTTTTAACTTGAAATAAGCTAAGATGAAACAAGATAAGATTCAGCTACTTCACCACTAAAGTGAAGGGCTGTAATCAGTGATTTGGTTAATACCTAACTTTTCCTAACCCCTGAGCTGTTCACTGAGTCACAGTTTTACAAGGAGATAAGCAGTCATTGAATTCAGCCCAGAGCTAAAGACTGTTATTTGCTCTTCTGGACAAATACTGGCTCCTCTCTAGGGTAAGATTCTTCAGCTGATAGCCTCTGATCCACACCAGAGACAAAAGGGACAACAAACTGGATTTATTATCCAGTTTGGATAATAAATTATCTATCTGGTTAAAAACCAAAATAAAACCAGCTGGGACCTCTGGTGTTTCATTCTTTCTTTCATTGTCTTCTCTCTTATTAAACCATTCTAGCTCCTAGAGATGCTGGTGATGGAGATCCTATTGCAGAATCTGAGTTTGGAAGAGGAGTTTGCTGTACAGTGATGCTTCTGTGGCACAAAGAGTTAAAGGGAATCTGGTATGGAAGAAGAGTGAAGTTTCCCTTATAATATTAGAACAGATTTTAGTTTTGAATACATATGAACAAAAGGGATAGAAAATTTGGGAGGCACAGCCACTAAGGCATGGGGGAATAAAACTTATGATGACGGGACTAAAGTCTGATAAAGACTGATATTTTGGAAATCAGAAACCTCTAATAGAGCAGAAAAATGTGTGCAGGTGAGCAAGTTCTGTGTCTGGAAGGGGGAGGACAGAACAGAGGTCTTAAAGTGTATGGTATCTGCATTTAGCTGATTCTGGTCTCTTTCTTACCATTTCTCACCCTTATTTGACACTCTTAAAATAGCAAAGGAAATACATTTGAGAAAGCCCTTTCTTAGGTTCCATTTCCTAATGTCTAGATTTTGAAATCTACAAAATACATAAAAATTGCACTCTGACTCTTTGCTACATTTACTCAAACACAACAGATCAAAGAATTTAAGGGAGAAACACAAAAATATTTTTAATAAGTCACCCTACCTGTATCCCCATTCTCTGGATCTGTTTTCTTTTCTTCTACAAATGAAATCAATATGTAAAGCAAAAAGAAGGGGAGAGAAAAAAAAATGCAGAAATAATAATAAAAGTAATATAAAATGCATTAAAAAGGAAAACATTAACAAAACTCACCAAATTAATAAAACATGAAGAATTTAGTCAACCAACCAAGTATGGTGCTCTAAATCTAGAGGCATATTCACTGCATGCTAGTGCATACATTTGTGTACTGTTATTAAACATTTATTGAAGGGAACCCATGGATATTTTGTGCACTTCCAGAATCATTAACACACTCAAGAAAAAGAGAGCAAGGCAGGTGTCAGGTAGAGTTACTTTCCAGTTTTCTTAATCAGCATGACACAAAAATAGAAGTAAAAAAAAATTTGCTTGTGCTGTAGGTTTTATGCAGTGCACACACAAGACACAGTCTAATGGTTCAGGCATAAAAATTGAATGTGTCAGAATGGGTTTTGGCAATTACTTTAAATCTTCATTGGTTTAATCAATTTTCATAGCTTCTACAGGTTAAAAGGTTTAATAATGATATTACTTAACTTGTCTTAGAGTTAAAAATTATGAAGAACAAAAGACACTACAATCAATACTCAGAAACCCAGTTCATGCACATAAACTCAGCTGACTGACGCCAACTCTGAATACATATCAAAGGTTGTAAATGGCTCAGGGCATTCATCTGTCACAAAGAAATGAAAATACACTGGATCTCTATCAAATAATTTGGCAGCCTATAAATAATCTGAAATACCATTTTGGTAAATAATGTGAAAGAATTTTAAGTCAAATGAAATTTACTTTAATTAGAAATACATTAACTTTGAAATAGGTTCTGTTTCCTTTTCAAAACTGTAGTAAATTCAATTAAAACAATCCCATTAATATGGAGCAACAGCCCCCAAGCTACACACCAAAAATAGTATGCATGACTAGAACTAAATGTTTGTCCAGTTATTGGTTATTGAGGTTTGCTCAAAAAATTATGATCTAATTTACAGTACACAGACTGAAGAAGAAAACAAGAGTTGCTGTATTTTAAAGAAACAGAGTTTTGTAGGTGGATATCAAGGCAGAGGATGAAGTCAAATTCAGAGAGAAATGATACTCAAGCAAGGTAGAATCATAAGACTGTTATGGAAAGGAAACTGTTGTGTTAAGGAAAAATGTGTTCCTACAGAGAGCATAAATAATATGCTACACTTCAATAGGACCTGGCTTCCTATCTTGTGTGGGATCAAGATTATTGTTCTACTGGCAATTTCTAGTGGAACTATTAGGCAAAGTAATGGGAAACAGATATGGCAGGTCATAAGCCTACACTTTCAGCAATCAGTTGGTATTGGATCAGTTCTTGGAACTTCTCCCATTCCCTGACCTTTCCTGCCCCACACTCTACACCATTTTAAAATAAGGCTTTTTGTGTTCTTCTGAGCTGGCCTTTGGGCAGCCTTACTATCTATGTGGGCTGTGGACAGTGCTAGGAGAATAGCAGAGAATGATAGTTTTGTTTGCTTTTCAACCTTTTGATATTTTTATTTTTCTTTTAGTTTTAAATTGCTGTTACCAATATAAAATCTACAAATACAATTTCTTTTATTGTTGTATTGCTTTTTAAAGCAGAAAGCAATCTGATAGCAATATCACTGATTCAACATAATGCACAATAGAGGAAATTGAATTGAGTCATTAAAACACCCATGAGCTTGAGCTCAGAGAGAATGATGACATTTCTAGGTTGGTCCATATGCATAGTGAAAAGAAATCTTTACTTTGCCTAAATATTATCTTAATATATAAATCTTATATAAGGTAATAATTTTTAAGAAGTCTATAAGTCCATTCATCCTTATGTCTAGATGTCTTTCAACCATGTATCTTTAAATAAATGCATTGTCAAAATAAAGAAGTTTGAAACCTGTCCAACTTTCACTCATTCTTGTTCTATATATACAAAATATATAGAAAAATATTTTCAAACCAGACCGTAGAAATTAATATCATAGTATTAGAAACCACAAAAGTCTATTAGATTCTGGAACTTTAAAAGTGTAATTGAAGTGCTGTGACAAATCTCCACAACAGGTATATTCTTCAGATTTTTAGTAGAAAGCTCAATACAGTGGATCCTACTCTTCAAACTGAAGTTTCGTATGTATTGTGAAGAGCTGCCTGAAGAAGCACTAGAAAGGACTGAAGATTGACTTGAGAAAGATCTTACTTGGGTGGAAGCAGCAGAACTGAACAAAACTGATATCATCCATTTACGAAATAAAACAATATTAACAGCAGCAAAGATCACTATGGCTATGGGCCCATTCATCACCTCTAAAGGAATTCAGAGCAGGTTCAGGATGTTGATACTAAAGTAATTAATGTTTTTGTTTGTAATGTGTTCAAAATGAAAAAGCTCTAAGGAGTCTTAATGTCTTGAAACTGCTGAAAATCCATAAATCACTATGAGATCATTTTAAAATGTCTCAATCTGAAAAATATGAGAAGACAAAGTCACCAGTCATTCCTAAAAAATCTTGATCTGATTTTTTTTACAAATGACCAGTATCATCACATTAGTCATTATTTTTCTACATTACTTAATTTAACCTTGATTCTCAGAGTGAAAAGCATACATTGTGTCCTGTGGTGTAATGTTCTCAATTAAAGAACTGATTTTTTTCAGAGCAACGTACTTTGGAGAAAACAAATCAATGCTTTCACGAAGGAGATATTTCTGCACATTACAGAAAATAACTGTATGTTTTCTTCTTGATCACAATACAGATATATTTAAGTATATGGATGAAATATAGAAATGAACTATAGATATAGAGAGATTGAAATGCTAAAATATCCTCTCTCAAAATCTTCTTCTACCATCACAGAAGACATTGCTATTATAATGACCACTAACATTTTATTTAATAGTAGACACAGCCATGCTCCTGTGTTCCCCTAATTCCCTGTTTTTTTCTAACTGGTCCTAATATATCTGTGAGATATCTAACAATCTAATATGTATCCGGAATAAAATTAATAGAAAAGAATACAATAGCAGGCTTGTCAAGAACTAAAACTGATCTAAAATGGCCTTGATTTTCTTGGAAATGCCTTAATTCAATGAGCTTTGCTCTTCTGATGGGTACCTGGGGGTGCCAGGGCCCCATCAGACTTCACCCACATCACACCAAGAAGTTTCATGTAGCAGGGACTCCAAGATCCTTGGAACAGGTGAGAGAATAGCATGGCAGTTCCACAGAGGAAGCAGGATAGCAGATTTCTCCCTAGTCAAGGATATTGATGGCAGTATTAAGCAATTGCTCAAAAATTACTGATGGCAGCATTGAACAACTGCTCAAACTTGCTGGCGTCCTGGTGCAGATAAGGGGCAGCCTGATTCTGCAGCCTTAAGGTTACAAATGGAAGGTGCTGGCCTTCCCAGAGTTTCTCCCTTTCTGTCTTGACCTTTCTCTTCTTGCTCACCTGGGATCCAGGTGAATGAGATTTGCATAAACTGAAAAGAGGTCTAAAATAAATCTTGACCTCCTTGCTTTGAATGAAAAAAAAAAAATTGCAGCTTCCAGTGCTGGAGGATACACATATCACTGCAAGAGACAGACATGGAAGTCCTCGTTTGTTTCTGAGTTTAAGCATAAGATGTGGCAGTGACTAATAAAAGGTTTTATCCTTCTGTTTTTCATATTTGAGACACTTAATATCAGCAATATGATTAGGAATTCAATTTATGCAGTGGACAAATTAGCTCCTCTACTTTTGAAAATAGAGTCTGATTTCTGAAAGTAGTCCAAATTATTAAATAACATTTTATTTTTAAAATTGAATATACATGTAGTATCCTAACTTTGGGTAAGTACTTCAAAAAATGCTAGCTGAATTTCTTGCTAGAGATTTCTCACTAGAGATTTCTCTTGAAATGCTATTAATGAGAATATGGGAAAATCAATTTTATTCTGAAAAAAATTCCCTAAATCACAAAATCACAGAATCTTCTGAGCTGCAAGGGACGCATAAGGATCATTGAATCCAACTCCTGGCCCTTTACAGGACAGCCCCAAGAGTTTCACCATGGACAGAGAGTATTGTCCAAAGATTTCTTGAACCATGTCAGGCTTGGTGCTGTCAACCCTGGGGAGCTGTTCCAGTGCCCAACCAGCCTCTGGCTGAAGAAATTTTCCCTAATATCCAACCTAAACCTCCCCTGACACAACTTCAGGCCATTCCCTCAGGTCTTGTGACTGGGCACCACATCAGTGTCTGCCTCTCCTCTTCCCCTCACTAGGAAGTTGTAGACTTCCACAAGGTCTTCCCTAAGTCTCCTCCAGGCTGAACAGACCAAGTCACCTCAGTCATTCCTTGCATGGCTCCTACTCAAGCTCCTGCATCATCCTGATAGCCCTATTATCAAATCAAGCAAAGGAAAGATGATTGTCTCCTGAAAGTAAATCATAAATGTAGAAGTATTTGCTTTGAACATCAAAACTTGCAGTTAAAGGTCTTGTACTCAAAGGATTACATTTCCTCCTGTTTGCTGAGCTATTAAATTCAAGTCTACCTCTAAGGAATTAACTCTAAATTTTGTCATTCTGGCTTTCAACAGTGTGAAAAATATAACTGCCTAACTGGTACAGGTCTAACAAAGTATCAGATGCTGTGATATAAATGGTTACTGAACTTCACTCCAGGCCTTCTTGTCTGATCTGTGGCAAATATAAAAAGAAAGTACTGCTGCAGCAAACAAGTTCTTTCCAAGTCTGTGATCCACATCACAGGCTGAATAAAAAGAAAAAATAATTAATGGTTGTTGTTAATATTACTTATATATTCTTGATACTTAATATTACTGTTTAAATGTAACTTATTTCCCTTAAAAGGGCATGCTCAAGAAGACTATTTCAGCCAGCCAGCTTCCTAGCAGGGAACATGGCTTCACATTCCTGTTTTCTATTTGAGGATCGCTTGACAGCTTTTTTGGTTGTTTTTTTGTT